GATAAGAAGCAATTTTAAATATTTGTGTAAGTTATGCTATGTGAAAGGCAACATGCAACAAATAGGAGTTATCCCAATTTGTATGCAAAAGTGGGCATACAGTACACTTTAAAGCCTTCTATAAAGTTAAACTGTGAGCAAGATATTAAATACAGATGCAGCTAAAGGTTCAGTGCTTCTGCCAACATCTAGACAAATCTGAAAGAAGCTGATAATGAACTACAGTCATGCTAAGTCATTCATGACAAGCATGTCTAGTAGTAAAGCCTGAAAAAGAAAGGATTCGGTTACAACCAGAGAGTTATTTATTCTTACTTGGAAATATGGGTTGATGTATGGTCAGTTTTAATACTCAGTTTCAGAAGTGCCTCATCTTTAAAGGTTGCACAAGCTACACCATCTGAAAGATTTATTGCTGTAACAGTAAGAGTCAGCAAAAACCTGGTCTTACTAGACTTAAGGGAATAGTTCCACAATTCCACTGTAAAAATACAGTTCACCAGGTACATGAGCTCTTAACCTTGTTGCCTCCCCCATATGGACAGCATTACACAGTTATCTAAAATCCACCATTTAACAACAAAATTAGTGGGTCGCCCCTACCTTGGCTCCTTGATATCAATCTCTCCCCCTAATATTATATATGCAGACAAAGAGGGTGAACGAAAGGGTTTGTGGAGAGATGTACATCGAACCATGCGTAAAAATATCTTAAATTTATTGTACATAAAAATCGTTTTAGTTGATAAAAATCATAAATAGCATTATTACATACATTAGTGGATATAATATCCCACTTTTAACCAACATAATTCATCCTTTCTTAGGATGAATCAGAATACATAAATTAAAAAAAAATTAAAATTCTGATACATATCAGCCATGATTGATTCCAATTGATGCATTCATTGTATAGTCTCCAAGGTATGTATATCAACATATTTTATTTTATTAAATTAATTTATGTATTCTGGGCTGCCTGCCTACTAAGAAAGGATGAATCATGTTGGTTAAAAGTGGGATATTATATCCACTAATGCATGTAATAATGCTATTTATGATTTTTATCAACTAAAACGATTTTTATGTACAATAAATTTGAGATATTTTTACGCATGGTTCGATGTACATCTCTCCACCAACCCTTTCATTCACCCTCTTTGTCTGCATAAAATTCACCATTTGCTCTGAGGTGTGGGGATACGTTTAGATCCCTTGCACTGCAAGCATCAGTAAACTTGATATGAATATGATTATAATTGAACTGAACTGATGAAAATCTTCATGTTTTAAAGTCGTATAATATGGTTTCCTACAGTATTTCCTAAGTTCTGCAGTTTGGCAAATCAGTAGATTAACCACAAATAGTACCTTGCCCACTTAAAAGACAGTTCGTATGTTACCTCTGTAGACATGAAGACTTTAGGGCAAGATTTGATCAGTATATCATATTCACATATAGGAACATCACAAACTTGAAGAAAAGATTCTGAAGATATTTCATTCCTTGGTTTGGCAGATATCTTAATTGAAAATGGACCCCTCCAGAAATAATAATCCTAATAATAGGAAACAACAATGAGAATCATAAAAATACAATGAGGCTGAGCTGCAACAGCAGGAGCAAAAGTGGAGCAAGAGCCCACTTTCGTTCCAGATTTTCTTTTTTAACTTCAGCCACAGTGTTACATTGATTTTTATTGGGAACAGAAATATTATTCTGTATAAGAGATGCCAAATTATTGTACTGCAATAAGAAAATGAAGAAGAACCCTTGTGTGCTCAAGAATATGCAGTGCTAAACCCTTGTGTGTTCAAGAATATGCAGTGCTAAAGTTAATTTCCGTAATTAAAAAGGAAAGGGCAGTTTGAGCGTGGTAGTATATACCAGTTAGAGGACAGTAACATGTGTTAATAACATCTGCTAATGTATTCACACACACATGCTGTTGGCAAAGCTCAGGACACAAATAGGATATGTGAAATCACCAACTGATGCAGCATACCTTCCTCTCCATCATTTTTGGATTTATTAAAAAGGTCCTCTGTAATTCAACATCCTGCACAAAGATGATGAAATCGGGAGAACAGTCTCCATCCACCTTCCCTGCCCAGCCAGTAGAGGAGTTGCTCATCATTTTGCACAATTCCATACAGACTATATCAAATGTTTTAAAATGAGGGCAGGGGTGTGCTTTTAACTTTTCTGCACATAGGTGAATGCAAATCTCTTTACTGGTTCACTATGGGTGGAGGGGGGCCTCACAATCTACTAGTTTCTGTCTTAGGTATGAGGGAGCAGGTAGGTTGCAAATAAACCCTCCCCCACTACAGGAACACTCAACTGAACACTGCCGAAGAACTTTATCTCAACATTAGGCACCATTAATCCTTTGGTGGAGTACCTCTCAAACCAACTAAATGTACAATATACTCATATAAACAGCAATAAAATAGAAATATGCATGCTGAAGGTCTCCAGGAATACCAGGCCACATGTCTACACCAACAACATCACAGTTTAAGGACACAAAGGGCTCAAAGAACACTCTGAGATCGCTGAAGTTCATTAGACAGAGCTTCCTCCAAGAGATGAATACTTCTGCATTTTTGTTGCAATTTTAACAGCTGTAATAGGCTTACAAGCCCCCCTATGTGAAAGCATATTAGGTGGTGACAGATATTCTTGAAGATAACATTAAGGGTCTACTTTTCCACTGCAAAGAAGCTATTAAAGTACAGATTGTGCTTGAATAGGTCCTTTCCCAGCTTCTCTAGTCAGGGAATGACAGCTGAGGAACCGCATGTGATGCAATCAGCGTCGCTTCCAGCTTCATTCAGCGGGGAGGAGATTGGCAAACGGATGTTTGCCGGTCTCCCTCCCCTCTACACCTGTGATGCCAGTCCTGGGCCTGCAGGAGGTGTACCGGAGCCCAGGAAGCAAGGTGGAGGTGTTGGGTGGGGGGCACACTTCACCGTCCCCTGGAAGCGATCTGGCAGTAGCTCAGCCACCAGAATCGCTTCCAGTGTAAAGCTGACCATTAGCTTTACACAGCTAAACACAGTCCTGACAGCTATAGTCTGTTTAGAAGGGCCTGCTGCCAATGACGTACGGCACACGTTATTGACAGTGAAAGGGTCAAACCTTTCGCAACTTCATCCGAAAAAAAAATGTTTTGGTTAGAGATACATTTGAATGCTATGATGTGAGGAGCGCTTTACAGTTTGAGAAAGTCTGCTCGGGCAACAAGGTCAGGGCATACATATAGGTCACCTATTTGGACAAGTACAAGATAAACAATCATTTCCTCACACACTGCTTGGGCAAGAGCTGGAGAATGACCTAATACACAAATGAGTAGAGTATCTGTGGCTATGTTCCAATCACATTTTGGTACATCCATTACCATTATTCAGAATATTATACCAGGCAAGCAAATCCTATGTATTATTTAACACCTAAAAAAAACAAGCCACTTAGACTGAAATCTGATATTTTGTGACAGATAAAAGATGTTTGCAGTTAGACAAATACAAATGAACAAAGAAAATAAAATAAAAGATTACATGTCCATAAGTGAAATAAGTTGGAAGGGTCATAGAGTTCCTATTGGACTTGGAAGCAAAAAAGCTGCAATACCATGGTCATATGATGTAATACAAACTATAAATACAACAGAAGCGGTTACCAGAGCACAAGTGTGTCACGTCTGGAGTTTTGGTTTCATGCCACTAGAGGGAAAGGGCAAAGAAACAGAGTATATATGACAAGTGAGATTATTCCTGTAAGGTCAGCAGAGAAAGTCCAGACCGCTGAATACAATCTGGCATTTAGCAAGTGTAATATGACTAAAACAGGTGATACTTTCAATCTTCCACCACAAATCAAAACTATAATAGATGCTTAAAGAAGCATCTCTGGACATGTACAAAATTCCCCCTTGCAGTGGGGCTACTGCCGCACTGTAAGGGTTAAATGCTCATTTTGGTCTAGGGTCTAAAATAACAAACAGGTATACTTGTCTAATCCTTGGTCCTGCCATGCTGCTAGACCGGTCCCCGCAGCCAATTCTCCCCACGCTCTGGCGGTCTAAGGACCCATAACATCACTCACATCCGGGATATGAACTGTCCAGCATCCAATCTCCATCACCCTCTGATTAGTGCAATTTTAGAGGTGTTTTCATACCTTCAGCGCTGGAATGTTCTCACTGCAGATAGCCCACAAACAATTCTATGGGGAAATGCTGATTTTCCACCTGGAAAATCGCTCAAATTTCAGAACCATTAGTCTACCTGCCCCTTACCTGCAAATATGTTCTTCAAACAGACCTAGGCAGACCCATCCACATACTCAAACAAGGGCACAATCCCTTGGTGGACCTATTTCAAATCCGGGATTTCCTCCTGACTCCAGGCAGGTAAGAGAATATTGCCCGCTCGCTTACCCCCTTCGAAAAGGCCTGTGATGGGAACGGCCCCACTAAAACACCTAATTTTGTGGTTATACTCTCTATTGCAAGAAAATATGCCCACCCATCTACCTACCTTACATAGTAAATGAGAAAAAGAACTACAAGTTACTATTCCAGAGGACTCATGAACTGACATTTGTATGAATGCCTACAAGAGTTTCATTACCAGTTGGACAATTTTGGTACAGAACTCCCCTAGCCATTCACAAAATGTATCTTAACCTTCCCCAGTTCTGCTGGTGTTGTCATGGTGAGGTGGACACACTCACTTATATTTTTTGGACTTGTCCATACTGGCATGGAATTCATGATATAATTGAGCAAGTTACTGGTCTAAGCTTGCAGCTAGCTCTGGAAACCTTCCTCCTACACTGGCAAGACACTTCTGGTTCTTACAAGTCTTTACACAGACATCTCATCAATGCTGCGAGGGCAATAATTCCATGATACTGGAGAGATTCCCCTGTACCCGCCTTGGCTAAATGGATCTTGCAAGTCAACCACATATATGAAATGGAAGAGTTGCTAGTCTCCAAATTGGATATACTTGACAAGTTTGTTGGGAGATGGTCCTGTTGACAACACTTCACTACTGGCCCAGCCTACGCCCGCCCCAAATCCAGTCATGGTGGCCATGGACAGGCCCCTCCAGACACTTAAACTTTCAGATACAAGCCTCTTGTATACAGACAGGATGAGGACTCCTGTGATACATTTTGAGAGGTGCATACTAGCTCCCTATCTCCTGACTCCAAACCTCCACCGTCCAGTCCCCCTCTCCCCCCCCCTCTTGCCCACTCTCCTACCGCCCACCCCATTTTTTCTTTTCTTCATCCTCCCTGTAACTATCTATTGTGCTCTCCATTAAGTCTTGACATTCTTTTCTTCTACTTTTCTTACACTCCAACCTTGGGGTTCATGTACAGTATCTCATCCAGTGATTTGTTTGGTGTGTGGCCACCCCATAACTGCAAGAACTCAGGCCTACTGAACCTCTTCCTACTGGTGCTTGGCCTCTTGGTTTTTGACAGATAAATTACCTTATACTGTTTACAATGGTATTCTGTATAGTTCTTCAGTTATCATTGTGAATGGAATCTTATAGTTGTATTTCCTCTGTTTCGCCTTTCCATGTTAAATTTCATGTTAATGTTCTGTATCTTATTTGAAAACTTTGAATTAAACTTATTTTTTTTTTTTTAAATTCTCACACTGGGGAGACTAAAGACTAGAAATATAGTATCCATAAAAGTGTCTCTATAGGGGTAGGTGAGAAATGATCTGCATGCTTGTGCCAAATCTGTCAGATTACAATAATTTTCACAAAAAGCACAGCACAGCCCACATATTTCTGAAACGTAAACATCCTCTTTCTGAAACATATGCAAAATGCCCTTTAAAGCTCAACTCTGGACTCCCCCCCAACTCCAGTCCCC